AACATATTTTACATAGACGCGGGATGCGGGTAATCGCGGTACGAATCGAGGTGGGTACTTTAGACGGGTAATCCTCCGGTGGTCGTTGCGCTGGAACCCCCATCCCCTATACTACTGAAGAGACAGATGAAAAGAGGCGTAGAAGCTAAAGTGAAATTTGAAATCCAAAATTTACGGTTCAGATTAGGATTTTTTTACCCTTAGTAGTTGTAATTCCTGTTCGAGTTTTTGGTTTGCCAGATGGTAAGCCATTATTTGCTGTTGCAAGGAAGGATCAGGAACTGGAAAAGACAATAATCACATATCAGTGATTGCGGCAGATTTTAATCCTTAATATGTTTTTGGTTCAATTGTTACATTGAAAAGTTTCGCCATATTTTGTTCTTATATGTTCACTCCTGGTTTGAAGCTGTCGTTGCTGTTTTTGTTGCTGCTGCTGCTGCATGGTGTCATTATTGCTGCTGTTTCTGCTGCATGTTGTTTACGCTGCAGTTGCTGTATTTTGTTGATGTTGTTGTTGATGGTGCGGCTGTTGTTGCTGCTGCTGTTGCTTTTTCTGCTGCATGTTGGTTCTGCTGCAGTTGTTGTTGCTTCTACTGCTGCACGTTGTTGATGTCGTTGTGCTGTCGTTGTTGCTACTGTTGTTGCTGCTGTTGATGATGTTGTTAATGCTGCTGCTGCTGCCGTTGATGCTGCTGCTGCTGTGTGCTGCTGTTGTTATTTTTACTGCATGCTGTTGTTGTTGTTAGCATCGTATGCATGATATGTGCTGACAATCAAGTACCTGCTGTAGAAACTGGCTGCAAACTTTTTGCTTCAAGCTCAAGCTGTTTGATCTGAGACAATACTTCAGGGTCTCTTCCTCCTCCTTGAAGATACGATATCTCCATGGCACTGAAAATGGCATAAAACATAACAAGTGAAACATAACAAACTCTGGCAAGAAAGGATCGCTCTGCAAATCTGTTCAATCGTACTTGGAATAAAAGTCAATTTAGCTTGCTAGTTGAGTTATGTTTAAAAATTTCATTTACACGTATAGATGCATGATCTAGTGAGAAGAACGTATGTTACCAAATGTTAGAGCCTTTCTTTTTTCTCTTCCTTTTTCATTCAGCTAAGAATAATCTTAACATAGAGCTCTGATTGAGAGAGGAGGTAAAGCCACACCGCCGGCTTCCTGGGATACCAGCCTTGCAGCTGAAGAAACTACCGACGTTACAGTAAGTATACAGTAGTTACTTCACCTTCGTACCCTTTACTTTACCTATAAACTCCCTTCACAGATGGAGGTATGGATAACTTATAGAACAAACACTACTGCACGAAAGGAAAACTGATTAAAAATATTAAGAAACTTACTTAATTTCACCCAGAAGTCCACTTCCTTGTAGTGCAGCATACTGTGGTAACGGTATAGGACTCGCTTGTTGCACATTTAATGGATTATGATTCTGAGCTCCGGTGTTGTATAGTTTTAAAGTATCTGTTGAATTACATGTGAGACAAATTATACGACTTAACAAAATCCTGTTTTCACTGAACACAACAAAACGTTGGCACTGAATTTTTTTCTTCATTCCACATAGTATTTGGTTCCTTCTCAAAGCTACATCAGAATCAGATTATTGCCCAACAATTTTTCAATCTGTTTCCTGGTACCCACCTGACATGCCACGGAAACTGGAGGAAATTGGTTAAATTTACTAGTCAAATTTTTAGATGCAAAAGAAAAAATTAAATTCAATTTTTTGGCTTTCAAAGCTGGCACTTTTCGCTACTAGTAGGGTATAACTTATAGTCTAGTATAGTAGCTCATCCAATCAAAATGCAGCATTGATGATAGACAACTATACTAGTTGGTTTTGATTTATTCTAAAAAGACTACTAGAGTTTCCAAATTTTCCATTTTACTTAGGTTTGGATTGATATTTACCTCTGGGTTGTTCAGCAGGAGAGGACCTAGCAAGAAGATCATAATTCTCATATTATATTGCTGCAGATGTAAACTTCATTTTTGTTAGTGAATCCAGACTCGTACCTAGTCGTCAATCACGCTTTAATGTGCGCGATGGCTTTTGGGAAGGAATGAGAAAAAGTGAAGTTTGCTTTTCTCTTCCTAATCCTTCCCTTGATGCAGCCGCGAACTCAATAAATCCTTCCCATCAACCACCGTGTGAGATCAATAAGACAAGAGAAGTGACTGGGTACAAGTCTGTCCTGAATCAATAAAAGCTTAACAGTAAATGGGCTTATTAAATGATTGATCATCATAAGTCATACCACATTTTTTTATCAAACCTTTTCGTAGAAAGAGGTGTTTCTGGTGAAAGAGAATAACGTCCATGGATTTTCTTTTTAAGATCTTTCAACTTGTCCATCTCTGCCTGATATTCATTTCTGTAAGAATAATAATTGCAAACAAATTGCTTACTTATTTCAATTTGGCTTCCAGTGTGTTTCTTTTTTGTGAGGTTATGAAAATACTATCACAACATTTTTACTGATTTTATTTTCATTGATCACTTTTATCTAAATTGTTTTCTCTGTGCAATAGTTTCAAATTGAAGAATTTTAACGATTTTAGAGAGCAATACCCTTTAATAAATAACAGCTGTCTCAATTAAATATAAATTTGAATCCCATAAATACATTTGATCTCATATTATTTTACCTCATTTCCTGTGATTTATAGTCAAGATATTTTCTAAGTCCTTCGAATTCTGCTTCTTGCTTGTCCTATTAAATATGTACATGTAATGTTTTTTCAAAAATCATAATGTACACAATCATTCTCTTCGTACATTAACTGTTCAAAGTTTGTTGAAACCCTGAAACAACCACTAGGCCAATCAAAGTCAGGGAACAGCTAACTGACAGATTGCATATGAATTTATAATTTCAAATTTCGTKGAGGGAGGAAAACCTGAAAACCCAGAGAAAAACCCACAAATGAAAATGTGGGGCATCCACCCAACCCACAGTATAAAAATCATTATCCATGATGAAAGATGAAGATCATCCCATTCCCCTACTAAATACTCTGATCACTCCACTTATAAGCTATATTACTTTTCTAATAAAATAGAAAAAAAAATTTTAAATGTCTGATCTAATTAAAGACTAACCACACTTCCTTGTGACACCAGCTTGTGCCTGCTTTTTAATCCAAGTGAGTTCATTTTTTCTTGAATGGCTGAAATTGGTACAAGGTGATTAGTAATAAAGTGCAATATAACCTCTCATAATAATACATAAGGTAAAACATGCGCAAAAGGTGTTTAATAGAACTCAGTGAAGCATCATTGTCATACACTGTTAACGTTGAATATCACC